TGTAACTCTGAGGTTGGATGAGGTTGGTAGAAAATCTAATTGCACGTCATGCAGCTCTGCGACATCCTGTATCTAACATCATCATCCTGTATGTAATGTCTGACTGCTTATTGTAAATAATGCCACAGCCCTTATGACTCGTGCAATTTCTTGCAAAAAGTAGAATGCCATGTTAGGTAGGATTCATGTCTCAGTTGTTTGTTGTACAGAAACTTACTGAGGCAGATCTTGGTTGGACATCGCACTGGATTTGGTGATTTGGCAGAAGTTCAACCTGGCTACTCAGTGCTATCAGTCTGCATCTCCACAACGATCAAGGCACCGAATTGAAACAAAAACCCAGGAAATTCTCTTCAGCTAATGCTGTTGCTAGCAGCCTCATCATTACGTGTAAAAACAACACAGGCTTTCAAGTCTGGAAGCACTCATCAGTGTTCGAGGCTGGGTAGTAGTACAAGAAGGTTTCACACATTGTTGGCAGCAAATGAGAAGTTGTAGGTAAAATGTGTTTTTGAAGATGTCAGTCTGGTTTCCTTCTTGAACGCTATGTTTGCAGAGAAAACATGAATACTGGTTCACTTCAATAGCGTGATGATTAGTAATCAGCAATACTTAGGCTGAGTCACTGTGTAGGAACACCATGAAGCCCAGCTTAAAATCCAGTTCTCATTTTATTTGGAGGTCTAGAGTTCAGGTGGTTCAAAAGTAGATTGTTCTAAATGTGTTTTTTAAAGGCTTATTGATTGCTTGGCTGTGTGAGCTGGATTTTGGGGGTGGAGAAGGTGAAAGGGAAGGAATTGGTATTCTATTTCCCAAGGCCGAGAGTATCTGAGCCACGTATTTCATTTTGGAGTGTGGTATTTAAATATCATATATTTGCCCTTTTTGTTGTTGTTGAGAAGTGCTACTTTCTCATGATCTGTGGTGTTGGCAGATAACTCTGCTACTCCAGAGCCATAAAGGCTAAGAGCTGGCTGTGTGGTAGGCATTGGTTGCTGATAAGGTGGACGTGGGATGATTTTCCCAGAAAGTTATTGCATCTAAAACCAAGGGCAATCAGCATCCTCCTTTACAGTTATGTGGCCAGCACCACCATTTCCCTCTTGAAAACTTGCCTAATATTAATAACAGCTAGATCTTGTTTCTGTAGTGGTTATAACCTCAGGTAGGAAAGAGAAAAAAGGCTTCTGTACATGTTATAACACTGGTAGTTAACAAGATATCTTCTAGGTAAGTGGCAAGTGAATCTAAAAGCCAGCTTGTTATGCAGGTTTGAATGTCATCTGCTGATGATATCCTGAATTAAATGCTAATAGCTTTGTAAACAAATTTAAGTGACCTGCTGCTTTGCTTTGGGAGTAATATCCATACATGCAAATCAAGCAATTTTCTGAAACTGTATAACTACACGCTGACAAGAGTTGCACTCGAATCAATTTCCACATTTCTTGCTTCCTTCATGTGCCCAGCCCTGTGGTGGTGTGCCTCCAAGGATTGTTCATAACTGGTTATACAACATCATAATAAATAGTATTTAAAAGCAAATCAGTATTTGCTATCTCCAATTTGCTATTGAACATAGTGACTGGGATTGGCTTCTTTTAGGTATTGCAACAGCAGTGTCCTCTGGGGAGATTTGAAGGAGGAAGAAGTGACATCAGCAGTATTTGCCTGAGGAATTCCTAGGTTAGTGGGAAATAGTGCCACAAAGGGAACCAGCCTAACTCTCTTGTCCATATCAACTTAGCCTTGAGTTTGCTCAAGAGGTCTTTTAAGAGCTTGGTTTTGCTCTGTGGCAAATTAATAATGTTTTCCATTTCGTTTGACAAACCAGAATACGTATTTTTCTGACTATTTATTTGCAAACTCATTAGGGTGAGCATGTTGTACTGATGCTCTGGTATCTCTTAAATCATAAAGGATGTGAGCTGGCTCTGCAATGGCTACTGCTTATTGATGATGTGGATGTGGACAATTCATTTATTGCATCTGTCCCAGAGCCTGTGTTCTTCAGTAAAATCACATGCCTCTGCAAGACCTTAGACTCCATTGTGAAAGCATGCTGCATTTGGGCTTTTTGGAAGAGTATAGAAGGCCTACTTTCTGTGCGGCGGTCAAAATTCCTCTTTATATCTTTGTCTCTTATGTCAAGATCTGAGCAGAGCATAACTGAAATAGCAGTTCTTAACTTTTTACTGCCTTCTAGCATTACATCCTTGCCTCCAACCTTCGCAGTAGGCATCCTCCTTTTCCAGCATAATGCACTGGATTTGCGTGCAGACCAGCCATATGGTGTGTGTAATTATTGTTTTATAATGGTGTTATTGCTCTCTAGCTGCCCAGTAAACCCAGTGCAGTTTCAGTAGACTGTAATACAACAGCATACGAACTTCAGACTTGAATGATTTTCTTCACTTTTATACAAAAGTAGGTGTGAAGGAGAAAAAATGATTATATTTAATTTATAGAAACTATATAAAGTTTATAGAGTCTCCACAATCCTCACAAATGAAAAGGCCACAGAGAGGAGGGGCTGCATCAGAGCTGGGAGGTCTGCAGAGCTGGAGAAGAATAGCACTTAAAGAAACACATCAGTAAATAGCTGCACTGAACTTTTCCCATTAACTCCATGGGCAAGCAGATGGCCTTCATTAGGAGTTTGTCTGCCTTAGGGATTTTAGAAACAAATTTTCTCCCCTTTCCTCCTCCCAGTTCAGTTACTATTCCTTTAGAGTAGTACAGAACCAGTGTCTGTTCTGGAGTCATCGTTCTTATTGGAAGCAGCCTGTTTGCTTTTGAAAGGTTTGCTGAGTAGTTTCAGGAATCTGTATATATACATAAGTGCTCTCCTGTGTGTGCCTGGTTTATTTTTTGGTGTGTGAACTTCCTGAAGCAGTAATACCAGCTTGGCTCACCCATCCTTTCAAGCATATTTGCAGCTCTAATTTACACTGATGGCAGAATTTCTGCAGCAAAATTAGGAGCCATAGTGTCCTCTGTCGTACAGACAATCTAAATAAACACGGCTCTCACTTGCATCCTTATTTACCCTGAAAATAAAAATTGTCAAAGTGTTTGGTGAAAATAGAACCTGGCTGAAAGCAAGCCTCTGTAGAAATTAGAAAATGCTTCAGAAGACATTATTTTTGCTTCTGTGTACCCTTCTGTGTTTCCTTTTCAATTTTGGTGGACATTGGACATCTGCCTAGCCATCCCATTTGGTAAGGCAACCAGTCCTCCCTGACACCCAGAAGTCCCAAACGCAGCCCCGTTTCCTGCTGCACTGCCTGCCTCTTTTCACCAACACATGTATCTAAACAAAAAGCAACATATCTGGGGACAGATCTGGCTTACCTTTAACCCCTACTGACCCTCCAAAGTTAATTTTAACAGATCAGTTGTTGAAGTTACACCCTTGACTCTGCATGACATGTGGCACTTCTGAACAGACGTGGGTGTGTGTGAGTGCATGGAGAGGCAGCTCGGGGGTTGAGAGAAGCCCAAGAAGGATATGACCTGTCTCATGGTTTATTGTATTTTGAGATTTGTAGGTAGTAAATGCTGCGCGTATTTTTACAGATATTCTAGAACCCTAATATAATTTACAGTTTAATTTGTAGAGAACTGTTTCAAATCTGTGCAGATTCTTCTGAGTTATTTTAAAAGAAAAGCCAACAGCAATAATTAGTTTGGCATTTTTCATGTTTTCTAAAGCACTTAAAGGGTAATGACTTTTTTAAACCATCTTACATAAAATCAGGTTTTACAGGAATAAGAGGACCTAGAAGGCCCAAGTGGCCATCAGTGATAGATGTAATTCATGCTGAAAGCTCTATTCCAATACATCAAAATAAGGAGAACAATTATATATATGATTAGAGGCTGCTGACCCTTCAGTTAAAATGATCAAAAAGAACAAGATTAAAATTTGATTTACAGAAGCTGCTACTTAGCCTATAATTAGGCTGACCAATAAAAACAAACCAGACTTCTACAGAATGTGACTTCTCAGTAGATAGGCTAGCTATTTTTGCATGGCTGAGGAAACACAAAAAGATTTTAGAATATATTCAATATGCTCTATGTGTAGATTGAAATACAGCATATAACTAGTTTTTATGTTTCTTGTTTATAAATTGCCAGATTTCCTTAATTCTAGTGAAATTGAAGAACCACTTGAGAATAATTGTCTCTAAAATGAAATATCACTTTGTCAGTCTACTTCATTTATTTAAAATTTATGCTTTACTCTTTTATTTTAGAAGATTAGTCAGAAATATGATTCCCTTTGCACTTTTGCTGTAGTTTGCTATGGAAATGGATTCAGGAAATGGCACATGTGATTAAAAACTCTTCAGCTGGCATAAGAACTATTTGTACAGCTCCCAACGTACAGTACTTCTGGCAAGTCACAAGTGCTTCTCGACTTACTACAAAACAAATAAAATGATTAATCAGTGTAGAGACTTTTGATTCTGATTTTTTTTATTTTTTAATTTGACATTCACTAGATGGAAGATTGGGGGAGGTGAGTTTTTAGGCAACTTTTCCACTCGTAAGACTGAAGACCAAACTGTTGTGTTAATTAATGTGGTCCAGTTTCCTTGTGCTTGCAAGTTAAGCACATTGGAATCCACATCAGCCCAATTTGCATGTGGGTGTCAGGACAATAATCGCATAAACTGAAGGGTCAAACCACTGGCTCAGAGTCTAACATCGCTGGGGAGCTGTGCACAACATGTTAAAACTCAGTTCCCAAAAGCTGCATTGAAGACTGCAAAACTAAGAGAACCTTTTTCCTACATAGTTTAGAATGCATCTACAAGTGCATAGCTCAAGTCTGGATGAAGACCTTGTGTCTCCCGATATGGAATATATTTGTTTTATTTGCAGGCCTCCAATGAATTCTGACTTGTTTTATGCATAAATTTTTGAAGTTTCTTATAAGTGTGCCGTGTTCTGGAAACTTAAGTGCTGTGTTTTGTTTCTGATATTTGTAGTGGAACGGGAAAATGTGCAGAAGAGGACCTTTACCAGATGGATAAACCTACATTTGGGAAAGGTAAGACTGGCTGTCTTGATATTGAGATACAAGGACACAGTAGGAAGCAGACTACATTAATATATTTTAAAATAGTTACAATTTGTCATCAAAAAGGACTTCTGTGTGTATGGAGAGATTTGTAGAAGAATGAGGGGAAGCTGAAAACATGTTTCCATATAAATGAAAATTCCTTTTCAGGTTCAATGAAAGCTTGGCTGGCTTTAGGTCATCTCAGATACCTTTGTGTTCTTCATTGCAACTGAGTGCATGTTCCTGTAGAACCCCACATAGCCACATAAAATCAATTGTGGTTTAGGCTGCTCTGAAGGGATGGTTGCTGTGTGTTCCCCACGACTGGAGGTCTGAGTATTTGAGGCATAGTGGCCAAAGACAGATCAGTCCTCAGAACCTGGCTTTGTCCCAGATCTCCAGATGGGAAACATTAATTACTTGTTCGCTTTCCAAAAGCCTGTATGTTGTGATCTTAACATATCCAATTACATTAGAGAACTAATTCTTGGACATCCCATATTTTTGAAGTATAATTATTTCTTAATCGGACGGTAATATGACTATTGAAGCCAATTTGTTGTTCCTGTTGGTAGTAGATAAGTACTAACTCTCATGAGCAGTTAGACATCCAGAGAAGGGTTTTCCTGTTGTTGAGAATGAGAAGAGCAAAGAAATAAATCTTAGAATTACTGAGACAGCAGCAATGCTTAGTGCAGTCATGGAATGAGGCAGACCAACAGTCCTAACTTGGACTGAAGTTTGGGCTTCACAGTGCTGTTAGTACCTATGGCTAAATTTCATAAAGTGCAGGTAGGAACAAAGTTTGGGCTATAAGTTAAGCTACAGTCTGGATTGCGTGCTTCTTGTGAAGAGACTGCGCTTCAAAAGTAGTAAATCAAAAAAGTTTTGTAGAAGAAAAGCATCACATAAAGAGTTGCTTAAGTCCACTACCATGCAGTGAATGTTACTGAAGGAATAAAAGGATCTTCAGTCTCTCTAGAAAATCAGAATAAGGCCAGTTAGTAATGTTTGAACTATCAATTGCTCTCAACGGTTTCTCAACTTGAAGACAGTGCTTTGTGAGTGATTCCTTTGGGAATTAGGCTCTGGAGCTTTAAATTTGAAAGTTGTCAGAAAGGTTTGTCAAGTATGTAACTGTGAAAAGGTCTTTCATTTACAAAAGGAATTAGATCATGAAATGGCTGTAGGGAGCTGTTAATTCGTCTGTGCCAAACATATGAAGTCTTAGAAATTTTGTGGGTAGGTGAATTGTTTTCTCTGGAGCACATACAATTTTTTTTTTTTCCTTTTTGATTCAATAAAGAAAAGTGCTTCTCTGAAGAAAGGGCAAAAGTTTACTGCTACATTATTATTTTTTTTTTTTTCCTGGAACTAGCATAACAAACGCATCTATGTAAATAATGAGAACATTGCCAAAGCTATTTCTAATTACAGGTGATTCCATAGGGACACCTTCTGAGGGAGGGGAGATGGCTTCTGCCTTTATCCTTGAAGAAGCACTTCTGTATGCAGGGAGGTTCACTCCTTTCACAGGCAGCATTGAAGGCCTCCTCGTATACCTTTTTAGGAAACTTGTGGCATGGTGTGTGCCCTCTTAGAGTATGCCATCCCATTTGGGTCATCTTTTGAGAGGAGATGGCTCTGGTAATGGGATAGTTGGGGGCATCTACATCCTACAGTTCTGGTGGTTCTTGTTTTTGTTAGGAGTGAATGAGAAATCTGAAAGCTTCAAACCCAAAGCTTTTTAAATCTTGAAATGAATGTTACTTTTCTTTCTTTCAGTATGGAGCATTGACTTGAGTTTAGTACTCTTGGCTAGATTAAAGACTAGTGATAAAAATGTACAGCCTCATTTTGCCAGAAGCAGCATTTAATGAAACAGTAGTGCATTGCCCAATCAGAAATAAAATGACTTGGTTCTTAAGGGACACAGGTGCACGTGACATCTGAATGAAGCATCACTGCTGCAGCTGAGACTGCTGCTAAGGGCAGTGCTGACTTTGTTGTATGCCTCACAGCACACGGCATGACACCTCAGTGGAGTGGAGAGATGGCTCTCTTTGGAGGAGTTTGCTGAGAAGAAAGACACAATACATTGCTATTTAAATGCTTAGAAAATAGTGGGATATAGAATGGCACCCCAGAAACATTACAGAGGAGACAGGAACGAGATCTGGGATAAGTCCTTGTCTGATCTCAGTTACATGGGTACTATATCTCAGTTTTATCTTATTTCTTTTATAGGCAGAATTGCCAGTGATGTGAAGAACAGTTGTCATTTTCTTCCTGCAGGCTGAGATTTATTTCTAGTATCTCTGTCTTGTAAAATTCTCCTTCCAATTCTCTGTAGTAACGGTGACTCACCAAGTAGGGCTGTTTTAAAACTATCTCATTTCTTTACTTCACAGTGCAAACCTCCTCTGAAAGTGAGAGATTTGTTCATGGATATACAAGATGGCAAAATCTTGATGGCACTACTGGAAGTCCTGTCAGGACAGAAGCTGGTATGTATACAAGGGAGATAAACCTTTCTATCTATGGAGCTCCACACATTGGAAGTAACATTATATTGACATTCAAATAATTAGTGAGAATTTGGTCCCATGACTTGCATACAATAAGAAGTATTTCAGCAATTATGTCATTATTTCTTTCTGTTACAAGCTGGTCCTGAGCTGTAATTTAAATCTGAAGGAAATCTGTAACCATGAGATATGAGTGATGTGCAATCATTGTAAATGTTCCTTCCCCCCAGGTTTTTTAAGGCTTGGATATGTTAATGTTCACATACTCTGTTTCAAGTTTGCTCAAGCCGTGTTATAAAGGAAAGATAAATTTGCTGGAGAAAATTGTATTATTTTTTTAGTCCATGAATTCTCTTTCTATTTTGTCTGAAGACATTATGACACTGACTAAGCCTGGTGATGCTGCATGCTTTTGTGTGTTGTTCTGAGTTTAGTTCCGGCTCAGATTTCTTTAGTTTTACTGGTATGGTCTGAATCAGAATGACGAAGTTTTACTTACCAGAATCAATTTTTTTTCATTGTAATAACTATTTAAAATTCCATGTACCAGAAATGGAAATACTGAATGCAAGCATAAATGACCAATTACAGTTGACTTCAATTTTTTCTTTCTTCTTAAACCTTGTCAGTAAGTACTCTCTTCTGTGGGGATACCACTCTTATTTTTGGACGAGAAGAGGGACCAGCTCTGCAGCCACATCGCTGCATATGCTCCTGTAATTACCTTGTGATGCTTCATACTGTAGAGTGAATGCTCATTGTGGTCATATGTTCAGAACCACCTATTTTTTAATATTCATGCAGTTTGGGCTATAGCAGAAGCAGTACTGTCTCTGTCTACATTCACATAGAAAGCTTTGAGAGCAGCGTGGAAAGGAATTGGAGGGGAGACACATCATGACAATCACTGGTCTGTGTGCTGGAAGGTCAGGGAGGGAGGCCAGACTTGTGTTGGCAGCTGGGTCTTCCTGCATACATGATAAAAGCAGCGTGCCAACATGAAATTGCAGGGAGTCAGCCATGCAACAAATCTGTTTCTTCTCTGCCAAAATGAAGGTTGTTGCTCCCACCTGCCTGTGCCTGCTAGCAAAATTGCTCATGCTTCCTCAATGGAATGATACTATTTAATTAAAGATAAAAAATGTATGTATTATGACTTTTTTCAGGTAAGTTTGGTCCTGTTACTGAACGTGGTTGGGGCTGATTACATAAACAATCAACCTTCTGGTTGAGGAGAGATGTAATATCTAGAGAGCAGGAAAATGGGTTGATAACTGTGTTTTGCAGCAGCTGGGGCCAATTGTATAGTTGAAGCACTTTCTGATCAGAGAAGATGGCAATACTTTTTGCCATCCTCAGCTTGATTTGCCTCTGTGTTTGCTGTTTTTTTAATGTTTTGTGTGAAGGGCTGAATAATTTCACCATTTTAAAACACTTTTTGGCTTATTTTTTCTAGATGCATGAATACAAATCTTCAACCCATCGCATTTTTCGTTTGAACAACATAGCCAAAGCACTTAAGTTCCTGGAGGACAGTAATGTGAGTATTTCTAAAGGCAGTTCTTAATCTCTTCCCTGGATGTATGTCACAAATTGTAGTTGTTGTAATTGCAACTAGGGTGATGCATGGTATGTACATAAGAAGAATGTACTGCTTTTTTTTTTTTTCACACTGCGATTTACCTTAGCAGCAAGGCTGAAAAGCCACATAAAAATGCACAAAGAGAACACCTACAGAGTCTAAAACAAGGATTATTTGTTCATTTCACAATGTAAAGGTTCAATAGGATTAAAGGACCAGGAATCCAGTATTAAAAGAAAATTAAAAGAAATGCAAGTAGCCTTTATGAACCGAGTATTAGAGGCATTATTTCAATTACTTTGAAGGTAGATGGCTTTCTTTCCTTTTATCAGAAATACTTTCAGTATTACAAATCATGTATTTATCTGGTAAACTGCTGCAGCAGCTGATCATGAGTCAAAGGCAAGAGAAAATTAAACCTGGGAACATGAGATAAATGCATGATTCCAGGAATCAAAACCTGGTAAGGATATGACTTTCCTCTTAGTTTAGTAGTGCTGCAACATCACTTCCTAAAATCTGACACAGCTGGAAGGAAACAAGCAAGAGCAGACCCCGTAGCTCGGAATGATTCAGTCCTTTTTGGATTCCTCCCATTAGAGCTTTCTTCCAAAGCATTCTCAATGTCACCTGTGTCTTAAAAGCTCTCTGCTCTTGCAAAGCTATGTAATGGTGTCAAGTGAAATCCCCAGCCATATGACAGCTTTTTTATATGGTATACTCAGATCTTTCAGAATGAGGAAGAGAAAAGTGGACCATACCCACAAAGAATTACAGTCGTCTTGTTGTACTGAAAGATCTTTCACCTACTAGCTGAAATAAACTTCTGCAACTTCTCCACGATATTGTTTAGGATAAAACGTAACTGATGATCCTATTAACTCCAGGGTGTAAATAAAGGAGGGTTAAGCTTCATAGGCAAGAAGAGATCTGATGTACGTGTGTGTGTAGGGACAAAACCCTGCCTCACAGAGAATGCCAACTTGTTGCTTTCTTTTAATGTGTTTAATTCTTGCTCCAGAGATCCTGTAGTAGTACTCATCAGACCAGAGGGTCACTGGAGCACCATTGCAGGAATGAGTATGATGCGAAACATTAGTGAATATCTTTCAGCTTCAGAGATTTTGAAGGTTTCATCCTGTTCCTAGAAGAGGTTGTGAAAGGTCAGAAAGTTGTCTTATGTCTTCCAGATGTTGCAGTCCTCCACTGGGAGCTGATCTGGCCCTAAATGTGTAGGTCTACATGGCCTGCTAGAGAATTGTTAAGAAATATCTTACAAGTTCTTAGATTTCTCAACAGTCTGCAAGATTATGCTTTTCACACAAAGCCAGCTAAGGCCTGCTAGCAGATGAGATTTTTTCTTTCTGTTGATGTCAAAAGCAGCTGAAGCAGGTCTGATAGCCAGGACCTCACAAGGTGACAATCCCAAACTTCACTGAACAAGGCCAGGCAGGCAAAGCTCTGCCGAAACAACTACTTTTCTATTTATTTCTTGTTTCCTTAAGAGTAAGCAGCTGGTACCTTGTAACAATTAGCTCAGCTGGAACAGGTGACAAACATAAGCAGTAGTAAGAGAACAGAACCATCTCAGAACAGTTTAAGGATGAATGCTCATTTTGGACAATTATTAAAATGCACCAAGTTTTTAAAACTTTAAACTTTTAATGCTTTTAAAGCTTTCCTGTGACAATTACTTTGGTAAGAAAATCTGAGCCTTGAAATATGGCAGCCAGAAGTGTTCTCTTGCTGGGATTGAAAACTGTTGTGCAAACCACTAGATAAAAAGTTATTCTGCTCTCCATTTTTCAGTTTAACGAGATTTAGTGAGAAGTAGTGATGAAAGTGCCGGCAAAAAGCCTCAGCTCCCAAGACCTTCAGGGTTAGATATTAAACCAGAGTGGGTGGAACCCATCAGCGTATGCTTCTGTGGAACTGGGGCAGCAGGGTAAAGCTCTGCAAAGTGATTCATCACGTATGGAATTTCTAAATAAACGATAAATGGGCTGTATACTGGGCTCTGAGTGCCATGTACAGTACTGACAGCTTCCTTACTTCCTCTTTCCTTCATGAGCTTTGCCAAAAACAAGTTTGTCTAAGAGAATAACATTCTGTTGTTATTATGTGGAAGAAACTTCAATGTAAGAAACTCTAGAGTATGCTTGGATTATGCAAACATATCTCCTGCTACCTGATTTCATCAGAGCTCTTTGACAAGCAGCGTAAAGTGATATAAGCAAGGAGAAGGGAGATGCATAGCAAAACAGAAGTGAGCAGTTCTTACTATGATTTCAATTTTTTTAAGAGAAGTGACCTCAGTTGTATCCTTTTCCTCAGGTTTTATGTGCATTCCAGCCAATCTGTCACAATTTAGAAAGAGGAAGGCAGGAGGTGTATGCCTGCTCTCTGCTTGTTAAGAATTAGATCCACCAGTGAGGATGCTATCTTTTTCCGTATTTGTACAGATGAAATATATTTGTAATCTTAAATGTACAAATGAGCTCACTGCTGTTCTGCAGACTTTGCTATAGGTTTGGAAGGCTTGAGCTGAGAGCTCAGCAAGCAGAATGGCTGTGATCAAGGCATATTATCATTAAAAGAGATTTTAATATTACAGTTGTCTGGTTGGTCAATGGTAGAAGTGTTCCAGATATATCCAATGGTCTCAGTCCAAGCCAGTGTATATTTTTATATTTATGTTGTTTCATCTGAATTTTTCTCTGAATTTATAATCTCTTCTACAGGTAAAGCTTGTTAGCATTGATGCAGCAGAAATAGCAGATGGAAATTCCTCTCTGGTACTTGGACTAATATGGAATATAATATTGTTTTTTCAGGTAATAAAACTCGAGTACTTTAATCATAAGTCAACAGCCTTCATGTTATCAATCTATTCCAGCCAAGTACTATTCTTTTAAAATTGATTTTTAATCCTAAAAAACATAATTAAGCTTGCTACATATGACCTTTTCCCTCCTAAGATATGCTAATTTTATACCTGCAGCTGTTTTCATGTTTTGGATCTGTTTTGGTGTGAATAGAAGGCAATTTAAGCCCTGATTTGACTTGGACCAGAATTAGCTTCAGATTATTCCTGTCCCTTTTCCCCTATACCTTCTCAGGACTCTGTTCCAGATTTCCTGGACCTGCACCAATGTCATGTTTGGTTCCAGGTTACAGTTCATTTTCAGTAACCTTATCTGGATCTGGTCTAACGTGGTGGCAAATTCCATGCAGAATCAGTGATTTCTGGAGATTTTCTCACCATGGCAGAAGTTCATGATTGATGCAGAGAGCCAAATGAAATATCTTGAAGAGCCTAAAGTTTTAGTCCTGATAAAACTGAGTTAAACCTGAAATCTAATTTAGCCTCGGGCTTAGATTCAAACTGCTTCCTAATCTACATATATTTTGAAAATAACCTTCTAGACAATACCAAATTTTAATGAACAGAGAGAGATGGAGGGAAGGTTTCTGCAGTTCTTGTAAGAGGCTCTAATGCTCTTTCATTTTCTTGGGCTCGTTTCTAAAACAGCTCTCTATTTTGAAGTGGCACGGGGGTTTCTCTGTGTGGCTGAGCACTTCAAACCAAACACCACAGCACAGCACCAGTTTGGCCAGATAGACTTGGCAACAGAACGCATGGAGGCACATGAAAGCAGCGTAGTGAGTACTTTGGACTCAGCTATCCATTCTGACCAAGGATAGGATGGGAATGCTGTTGCAGGTCACCATTTCTTAACATAAAATATTCCACTCAGTGAGCCCTGTGAAAAAAGAGAATGATTTCAGTTAAGCTAACTGCTTTTTCAGGATGTGGTTCTTTGATTTTTGTTTAACATGAATTTGTTCTGTTCAACATTAACCAATTCCATGCCCTTCCTGTTTTCTGGGGTTGCAAGCCAGCCTGCTGCAGCTGCCACGTCTGTGCAGTACAAGTTGAGAGTTGTTCAGCAATGGCCCTGTTATCTTAAAAGTATACTGGTTTGCCTGAAAACAAACATTCAGTTTTCCATTCACTCAGTATTAAATCGGCGTTCTGTGCGTTTCACTTTTTATTACAGATTAAAGAGCTGACAGGCAACCTCAACAGGAACTCCTCCTCGTCCAGCCTCTCATCTGGACCCAGTGGGCCAGAGTCAGACACATCATACCCCAGCACTCCTAACATAGAAAGAAGCATGTCTGTCACAGTGAAGGACCAGCGAAAAGCCATCAGAGCCCTTTTATTCTGGGTTCAGAGGAAAACCAGAAAGTAAGCAAACAAGCTGTCATAAAAAACTGTGTCCCACCTGTCCTGTTCAAGCAGAAGCTCATCTCTCTTTCCTAATATACCACCCTGGCAGTGGGTACTACTGGCTTTTAAAGTCTGCAGACATAAGTGACCTGCAGGTAGATGTATCATTGCACACGTGTCTAAAACAACCATCTGACCTTGAAGCAGGCTGTGTTGCTTCGTGGCTTGATGTTAAATGTTAACTTGCACTAATCTGTTTGGCACTATTTAAAACAGGATTGTTCCCTCTTTCCCTCCCTGCAACTTCTGCACAGTCTATTAGATATCTTTTACTAATTAAAGGGTAGGCATAAATAAAGATTGAAATGTAGAAGGGAAAAAAGCCATAGTGAAAGACTTCAACAACAAACAGCCTTTTAAATTAAGCAGCAGTCCTGAGGGAGTTTCTCTGTGTGCTGTAGAGTGCCTAGGACAGATTTGTATTAGAAGCTTTGTTTCTTCTAAATTAAATATGAAAAGTGGTCAAATCTTAGATTGTTTCCCGAGAACACATTAAATTTGGGGTCCATTTCCATTGATCAACACATCTCTCTCCTCTGTAATAAAAAAGCAATTATTTCACCAAAACATTTTGATCGTTAACACCAGGCAGAATTGCTGTCAAGTTGAAATTTTTCAGTGTAAGATATCCAGTGCACGCATAAATTCTTGGCATATATTTTACATTTAAAATTATCAAAAAGGATGATTGCCAGAGATAAAAGCATGGGTCAAACTTACTAATAAATGTAGGATAGCTGTATATTCATCATTTTTATCAGTTGGTAGATTTGCATGTCCAAATCTGCATGTGAGCACAAATGTTCTACATAGAGAGCTAAGATACAAATTTACATCTGAAGTGTTTGGTCCTGTGGACCACATCCCTGGATTATCTCCAGTGGAGGTAATTGTGCTTGTTGTGCAGATAAACTTGTTCCATTGAGATCCGTAGTTAATTGCTGCTAATGCAGACCACATAGGAAGCACAGTTTTACTCTCAACTTAATGCTGATAATGACATTAACAGGGAGGAGGCGCAAAGAGAATGAGAAAAATTAAGGTCTTAGACTTCTTATCCTAGTCAAGGAGTACAAATTGAAACATTTAATGGAGAAAATTGCTCTTGCAACTGAGCTATTAGAAGTGTAATAGAGTCATTATAGTTGTCTTCACCAATGACTTGTGCAGGATTTTCTATTCTGGGGCAGCATTTCGTTGCAAATTTGTTTTTTTTTTCCTAACACACCTGTGATCTATCCATATACTTGCACTATTTGCATTAGGCAAAGTACAATTTTCTGCTATCAAAGCCAAATACATAGGAAAGTGAGTCATTTATGCTTATGTTTTTTAAGTACTTGGGTGTTGGCAGTCATCCGAAGCCATGGCGTGAGAGTGCTGGAACACAGCAGAAATGGGAATCGTAGAGGCATTTGGTTTTGTGAATATTAAATGTGGTTGCTGAGTACTCGAGGGCTTTGTTTTCACTAGCTGCTTCTTATGAGCAGGTTGATATCAGTTCTTGACTGCACTGACCCAGTCTATGAATCCTTGTGTTTCATGGAAGTATTTTGTGCCTTTTGATTGATGTTGTGACTTTGAAAATGGTGATGCTTTACTTTGGATTTTTAACACAACTGCCATGTAAACTGTATGTAATTCTGTTTAGATACGGTGTTGCAGTTCAGGACTTTGCCAGCAGCTGGAGGAGCGGCCTTGCCTTCTTAGCTATCATAAAAGCAATAGACTCCACTTTGGTAAACATGAAGCATGCATTGGAAAAATCAGCTCGAGAAAACTTGGAGGATGCTTTTAGCATTGCACAAAACAAGCTGGGTGTTCCTAGGCTTCTAGAGCCAGAAGGTAAAACACTTACATCAGCATTATTGGGTAACATTCAGACTACCATGAATACATTAATATTGCATTGGCATACCTACCGCAAGCCTCCCAGTGATTGGATTGTTGATGTGATTGGTGTGTGGTACTCATTGATATGAAAAAAAGATTTGGTCACTGGCTGGTTGTCACGTGGTTCCAGTCACGCTTGTTCAGATACCTTACCATAATTTTAGCTATGTGCATTGGTCCTGGTTAGTGATTAGATGCTACATGACATCGATATTGCTAGTGGGCATTAATCACTGCCCTGCTGAGTGGAGAGATGTCTCAATGCAGTAGCAGCATTTCATAATGCCTGCGGTCCATGCAGGCAAAATGTCACTTCAGGTGACGTGTGTGAGTCACCACACCAGGAAAATGGGTAGAGACCTATTCAAGTGTGTTTGCATTTCCCAGTTACTCTTCTACAATTCATGTATGTAGTATGCATATAAATACATGTATGCAAGCATATGTAAGTGTACAGATAAACATATGCTTACAAGTGGAGCTGATTCTTACCATGCTTTCTGCTGAACTCTATTATGCAGGTGTTAAGCCTTGACTTTATGACTGAAAGCACAAACAACCAAACTGTGCTTTATGAGTCACCTGTTAGAAGAATAGGTTCTGCTAAAAATGAATCTCTGTGCTGTCACTCAACAAGATCACTGTCAAGCGATAGCAACATATATATACTGTAAATTACACTTTCCAGGTGGATGAAAGTGACCTTGGTCAGGGTTCAATATGTGTTTGGAAACAGGAAATAAAATTAACGTGAACAAGATGTTGAGAATTCTTTATATTGTAAACAGTGAAAAGGATTCTACCATCTCTAATCTGTCAGCAAAAGAAAAGTGTTTGTAGCTGCTCATCGTAAAGGCAGATAACTGTCTGGCACTCTGTGCCTCTGCAAAACTGCTTTCAGGCCACATGTGCTGACATGCTGTACACCTTCCCCCACAGATATAATGGTGGAATCCCCAGATGAGCAGTCCATTGTGACCTATGTGGCCCAGTTCCTTGAACACTTCCCAGAGCTGGAGGGAGTAAGTGTTTACTCTTATGCCACATCCCTTTTTTATTTGCTTTGGTGTAATTAATAGGGACAGGCGTTGTATTTATCTTCTAGGTTTCTTTCTGAGCTGTTTAAAATAAGCCACAAACTCAGTTGTAATTTTTCTCATCTTTGTTAAGTCCAGTCAAGTGAGATTTCACTGCAGATTGCTCAGCTGCTTCAGATAGAACTCTGCATTTAAACATTTACATCCAATTATAGCTTTCAAAGGTTAGAAATATTTACATAGGCTCTGCTACTTTGCCATAGATATTTCAGAATAAAGTGGAGTTTATCCCTTCGTCTGTGATAATTTATCTGACCTTCAATTTGATTTTGAATTCAAGCTTCTCAAGTATGAGGGTCACAATCAATTTGAATTTAGCAGATATTGTAACAGATACAAGACATTACAGGCTGAATCTTGTCAATAAAGCTGTCAAAGGCCCTCATTTGTAAGCATAACATAAATTACACCTTAAAGGCCAGGGCTTTAATAAAAAACTTATCAAAAGCAAAGAATTGAGGAGCAGACCTCAGCAGGGACTGACAAATGTCCTTTGGACAAAAAGAAGATAAATTTAAGATGTAGCTAAACAATAGGAGACTTTAAACTGGAGGGGAAATGAGAGGTCCTAGGACTTTGGGAAAAGACCTGCCTAAGATGAAAAAGGGTTCTTGGCAAACTTGGTTTAGTACAATCTTTTTGATCTGAAAGAGTTTCTGAGGGATTTAGTGACCCTTGAGTATGTAGGTAATTTTTTTGGTGCTTGATTGCATGCACATAAGTCATGATTCCTACATGAGAGCCATTCCTTCTCATTTCATTCCTGAAAGTTCCGAGTGTTATTTTGTGTCATAGCTTATAAAATTGGTGGACATTACTAAAATCACCAGAATTAAAATTACTATAATAATCTAATTCATGAGTATTAAATTAGATTGCCATTAATATTTGTTGGCCTTAAAACTTTTGGACATTTTAATGGCAAAAAATAGCCTACCTATTTATTTATTTATTGTGCACTTGTTAGGTTTACTTTACTGCCAGGTTTTGGGATTGAGATAAAAAACCCAAGTCAATTCTTTCCACAAATGCAGCAGGGAGAGATGAAAATATTAAGAACTGAGTGGTAGGCTTTTCTCCACTCTAATCTTCCTGTACAAGTGGCTTCTTTATATTGAGCTTTGTTCAACTCACTTTACTTGCTGAATTCATTTGCCTACTTTTAAAATATGTGAGTAATTCATTGGCCATTTGCAAATTAAAGGGGCAGTGAGTTAGTTTCTGTATCACTTGGGAGAAGTAAAATGATATGTGAGGCACGATTTGTTTTTTAATGGTGTATTGTTACTTATAGGAAGACTTTACAGATCCTGAGAAGGAGCTTCCAATTGAATCTACGTATGTTCACATCAAAGACACGCCTTCAGAAAAGGAAAGCAAAATCTTGATTTTAAGGGAAAGTGACAAAAATATGTACACTGTTAATCATGAAAGGAGTCACCCTGCTCCTCCAAAGGTTCATATTCATGATACCCCTGAGAGAATTCTGTCAGAAACTGTTCCTGAAGCATGTAATGGCAAATTGAGTCAAGTGTTAGATGATTCTCAGGAAATCTCTGAAGGTGAGCCACGAAGGCCTACTTCACTGAAAATTACAGGATCTGTCAGTTATGAATCAAATTCCTCCTGGGAAGTTCTTAGTGATAAGTTGATGCCAGGTGATGGTGACATATCTGATGATCCACTGAAACAGAGTGATGACCTTTCTCCAGCTGTTCTGACAGATCAGAAAAATTCTGTTGACTCTTTTGAAGACTACTCTGAAGAATTAACAAAAGAAACCTATACTGAATATGACAATGAAACAAAGAGCCTTTCAGCCAATACTTCTTCTTTAAGTCCATTGTCTTGGACTTCAGGTATACTTACAGATGAATCTATAAATAAAGTAGAAGAGAGCAATTCCCAAAATTCAATTATTTTACCAGAAGTTACCTCTAAACAAGAAGATACGCATAAGTATGTTCTTCATCTTTTAAATGAGGATGTACTGAAACAGCCAGAAAATGAACATACAAAGCAATCGCCTGTTTTGGAGACAACAGAAAATAACCATTGTTCATTGAATGGTTCTAATCTCAAAAGCCGAGAAATATCTACACTGCTAGAAACATCTGATGACTCTCTCTCAGATGTGCCCAATAATGGAGAAGACTCAGACAGTTGTGATGAAGATGAGTCTTCAGCAGAAGTGCTACTCAGTTCTTCAAAAGTGTCTGTAATCCCCCATGATCTCTTCTATTATCCACATTATAACGTTCCCATATCAGCAGTTTTGGATGCTTATGTTGAGCCTTGTCTTGAAAGACATGATGCTGAAAATGACAAATATTTTTCTGAAACAGTAACAGATATATTACATGAGAAAGGGATACCGGCACAGGACTACAAGGAGGATGCTCCAGAGCCAGGCTTAGGGAATAATCATGATGTCCCTTCATTGGAAGTAGGTACTGAGAATGGAGAGGAGGAGACAATAAATATAAACGGCCATAGCAGTTCTTTCTATGAAAAAGAAGTGCCATTACTAATAGGAGAGATAGAAATTGAAATAGACAGCCAAAAAGCCACCGGCAATGAAGATTCCATAATTCTGCAGCACCCTGAGGTATTTAGTTTTTTATTTGCTGTATTTCTTTATGTATGTATGGGAGGTTAGTGCCTGAACTCACGGATTTCCTTTCACTTTGCATGCCATTTGGAGAAATAGATAAAATGTACTTGGTTTTCTGCCTCGTTAACACTGTTTCTCACAGCCCTCTACTGGAAAGAATGGAATTGCAGTTCCATGAAAAGATCTGGCATTAACAAGACAGATTGAGCAGTAATAACACTGCAGAAATTTGAATTTTACTCATGTTTTAAAGTATTTTGAAGCCCCTTTGTAGCTCCTAGGCAGAGAAGATTATGACAGAGGGTGTTTAAAATAAGTTTTAGTGAAATGAACAGGAAGTAATATTGTTGATATAGAAAGGATATGGGTAAAGGAATTTTCTTTTTTGTCTGAATCCAGATAAGTTTGTCTGTGAAAACAAACCAGTTTGAGTAGGTTAAGTCATGTGAGTAAAGTGCAGGCTTATCTAAACTGGAGGAGAAAGAAGGGCAATTTCTGGTAATAATTCTGTGTTTTGGATTTAGGCAAAATTGTATATCTTCTTGGAAACACTGATTTTGAATTGGCTTACACATTTTCTAGCATAGTAGTGACAGTGTTTTCTGGAATGAATATCCATTTAAGTACTTGAACGTTACTCTGTTGCGTAAACTTGGTTTGGTCCTAACATTTATTAGGACAATGAAGTCAAATTGCTGTTATCTCCAACAGGCTAATTGGAAATAGATTTTACAAAAAAGAAAATCGTGCATTACTTGAAAGAGTGAGTCGTGTCATGGTTTCTTACGTTTAAAGAACTACCAACTAATTGCATGTAAGCTGATCTGATGATACTTTACAGCTCAAGGTATTCAAAATTATTTTCAAAATTTGTGTTTTTTTCTCTTTAGTAACACCCTCAATCTCATACTACATGTAATGTAGCATCTGAGTAAGTTACGCCACTGAGGTATTTAAGAGGCTGGGGAACCAGTCTTGTCTGATGCAAAACATTTCTTATTTTCAACAGGCCATAGGAGACAATCTAGTTGACTTTGCAACAATGGGAATAAGACTGGAAGAAAGTAGTAATGGGAAGGAAAAAAAGGAGAATATGATGGAAGCAGAAGACTTACAGATCACAGAAGTTGGGCATACTACACTGTTAGACGAACTGGAAGAAATTGCTAATAGCCAGGAGTTGACCAGGTATTTCACACTGACTTTGTCTGAAATGCATCTGACTGATAGGAATGATGCACTTCTAAAAAACTGAATATTTCTTGTGGACTTCTTCTAGGACTCATTGGCTTCTTTCTGTGTTTCTCTTAAACATATCAAGTGGTTTGGTGCAAGTGGGGCGTGATTTGACTTTGCTGTACAAACTTTGCTGGAATCCCAATACATTTTAACTTTAGATGAAAGCATTACCTCCTTTGTCAGGCTTGTGTTCCCTGTCGTTTATCAATTCTTTTTTAACTACACAACCATAAAATCTCACCTAGTTATAAGACTTGCTTAAATCTAGATGATGTAAAAGGTGCAAAAAGTGTATCAAATAATGTTTTCAAAGAAAAAAAAAGATTCAAATTTGAGCACTTGGATTTTTTATATAAAAAAAAAAAAACACAACAATTTAAAGTTTCCCAAAGTTATTGCTTGTAATGTTAACAATAAATTCAAATCCATATACTAAAACACACAACAACACGTTTGTATTTCTGTGTAGCCTAAAACTAGTGTGCATAATTGCAGTGAATTCAAAGCAAAACTTCATGAATTAAAACACTTTGCTTTTATGTACGTTCCAGAACTTGTGGCAATGATTCCAACATTTTTCTCCGAAAAAGGTTTCCTGATACTTCTGAGATGGTAAGTTTGTAGAAATTGAACTTTCTATCACTATTTCATGATTTCTCCTGAACTCCAAAAGTTTAAATACTGTAAAAGGTTCTGCTCTCTATAAAAGTTCTGTGATAACACAGAAGCCCAGTGTTTTCTAAAAATTTTAGTGCTTTAATCTATAACAATTTAAGCTATTCTTGAACTCTTCCAAATAAATAAAATGGCATCTTACTGATCCTTGGAAAAGCCCACAAAGTACTACTTAGTATTCCAATTAAATATACTCTAACTTTGAGGTTTACTTTGTCATCACTGTATAGCTGAAACACTTCACTTCTTTGAAGCTTCCTTTATTTGCAGATCCAATTTCTTTTAGTTTATGCATTTTGTGTATGCATGTGAGCATCCTGGTCAGAGCCTTGCAAAAATGTGGAGTGTCTTTTGGATGCACTTTTTACCAAAGAGGCTCTTTGCCTCTTCTTTTGTAGCAGTGATGTAGTGCGTTCTCTGAATAACAGCAGCTAGCCCTTGAAGACATTTAATTGTAATGTGAAACTGCATCCTTTATTGCAGATGTAATTCATATTGATTTCTTGAAAGCACACTATACAACTGAGCTCTGGATGCTTTTTCTTTTTTAACTCATAAGGGACAGCAACAGCAGTTTGTGTCTGCTAAGCAAGGGTAGGAATATGGTTTTTCAGCACAAAATAAAATGTGTGCCTTCTTCGATTTGTAAAGAAAAGTTGCTGACAATATTCAGGGAAACTAATGTTTCACACAGGTGCTCTGCTTTTGCAATGCTGTCAAAACCAACAGAAAGTTGTATGAATGAGGAGAGTTCTTTGCTTTTCTGATTCTGTACCAGACTGCGATGGGGGATGCATGGGTATGGGATAAATTTAGGAGCACATTTTATTTTATTTGAGTAAACATTAGACATACTTTGCAAAGAATGTACACACGACTACCATTGTGTGAGAGACTGATTTTTTTTTCTTTTTATATCATTTGTTTTTTGGTTACTTGTTTGTTTAAGGAAACCTCTGGTAAAAAGGATCAGAAGATGACAGAAATGGGTGAAAATCTATTGATCGCTGGGTGAGTAGTTCTTCAAACAAAATCTTATGCAAAAAAATCTATAACTTCTAGGTAATTTTGTCAGTATTACAAAGGAAATAGAAATTAACTGTAGTAGTAGACCAGTGGTACATCTTACATAGTAGCTCAGTGTCAATATTTCCCATAGGTGTAAGACACAAAACTTCTTTGCTGCTCCATCTCTCTCTTTAACTAAAAATGCCTTTTCTTGACTTGAGAGGAAAGGCAAGACTGTGAACTCTTTCCCCACATGGTAGATATTTCAAACTGAGAAAAGAGTGGGAAGACTTCCTGTGTGAGGCCTCTGGCAAGTTTTCCAAGTTTAGAAAACTGTCAAGACAGTGTTTAGCACCATCAGTTCTAGGGAAAGACAGCACTTAGCAGAACTCTTGCCTCTCCTAGAGCACCTGTGTGTTTCTACAACTTGTGTGTGTGTGTGTGTTTAGTTTGGGCTTATGGTGCTGTGGTGGATCCTGAACTCAAAATGCGTATCCTTTGGTATGAGTTTATACATATCTATTTAAGAAATAAGCGTTACCTCACTTGATTACTTTACATTTTCCCTCTTGATTGGTACTGAATTAGTACCAGCTTGAATTTCTAGTTAAAATGATGGCTGCTTTTAGCTGCAAAAAGCATGCAGAATAGCAAGATCTACTGCCCTGCTCTCAATTATGTTTCCCTTAAAAATATATATATGAATAGCTGTCTCAGCAGTCTATAACCACTGCTTGTTTGCAGACTGCTGCTATTGAACACATTTTGTGTAATATTCATACAATAGTCAGTACATTAATTGAGGGAGCAGGACGCCCAAGCCAGAAAAAAAAACTGTGGTTGTAATTCCAGAGTTATCCTGGAAACTAACAACCTGAGTTGTTAGTTTGTTTCCTGAAGTCTAGGGCTACTTGTTTACCCTTCTGTGTATCTGACATGAGAAACTCTAAGAGTAGCTGGTTTGGAGACAGTATGTCAAGTCTGATACACTGTATAAATAAAAGGTGATACAATTGTTGCTCAAAGCCATTGCTTTGTTTATTGCTCTGAAAGTTAGAAAATGAAGAAGTATCTTATTGACCAACGAAAATCAGCTTATGTCAAATGAACTGTTTCTGCATGTATTTTAACTACTTGAGATCCTGTCCAAGTCTTCAGAGTATTAATTGCTGTTTTTAGAGTCCTTAGGAAACACCTGCTAGAGCACATTATGCATCCTATAGTGTAGCTTGGATCGCAAACAAGTAAGTTGAAAGAGGTGATTAAATTGCTGTCTGTTAGAATGCTCTCTGATCTTTAATGTAAATGTTAACAGTTTTTCCTGCCTCTTAACAAATTCTCTCTTATTTTTAGGATGAAAAAGGATGTGGAAACACGTGAGACTGCAGCACCTCCTTGCCAGACTCCAAGCGCTGAGCAATCAGAGCTACTGTACTTCATCATTTTCCTCTGGGTGCTTGTCTACTGCCTTTTAGTCCTTCCACAGCTTTTTAGCTTCAAAGTGTGATCTCTGTGAGGTGTGTAAAAATAAAAGACGGTGGCTTGATTGCTTTGTGTATCTACATATAACTATGTTATTTCAGGTGAAGCACAAGCAGAAATATAGGACCTGGTATTTGTATTTACTATCAGGTTCTCCTTGGTTCCTCTATTGTTGTGCTATGACAATGTCTAAGCACATTTTATAATATGACAGTTGTGTAAATATATATAAAAATGACCTGATTCAGTAGCTGCAATTTTGTACATTTGTGCCTTGCTTTATAAGATGCTAAATAAAAATGGATAATTATCAGTAGAACTATGAACAATTCAGAGCTCTAGTCTTCAAAAATTATTCTTCTGGCTTCATTTACCTGTGAAGGGTCCAACAGCAGTGGAAGACTTGTTGTTGGCTTGCCCGTGGATCTGGCCCTCCTGCAAGAGCAAGGCTTGAAATGCTCTTTTTCCATGGAGTTCTTTGAGAGAGGTGGAGGTAGAGCAGAGTTGGAGTTGAGACATTCTTGCTGCAGGAATTTAACTATAATCCTAGTGGCAATCCAGTGGAACAGCAAAATCAGGTGGAGGGTTATTTGTGGAGAGATTGTTTTTTTAGGATGTAAATTCATTTTTACTCTAAACCTGTTATGTTTAAATTGCAGGAACAAGTTGGGTGTGGAGCAGTGGGGGATCATGTGAGAAATCTTAATCCAGAAATTTCTGTACAGAGTACCTGAAGAAATACACTTTGTATGTTACTGATGGTGGCCATCTTTGAGAAAGATCAGGAACAGATAGGTGGTTTTTGTTTGTTTGTTTTTAATATTGTAGCCTACTGCTTCTGAGACAGCATCTGATTCTTTTTTTCTGATGCTTTTGCTTACCAGATCATGTGATCATTTCTGTCTTTTAAAGATACAAAATATGACAGGTAGTCTAACTTCTAAGGCTACTGTTGAAGCACAAGTGCATTGTTATGAAAGGGTTAGAAATATTCTTTAAGTGTATAAATCAATGACAAGTGTAAAACTCAATATAGATAAATGCTGACAACCTTTCTTTACTCTCTAGTATAACTGGATAGACTTGTGTGCACAGACATAGTTAAGCTATTTCTACCTCTTAACTTTTAGCCACATCAGCGATCACTTTAGGCTTTTTGATTTAGGTTTTTAGCCAGAGGAAGGTGTACCAGTGCACTACAAGGTGAAAGAGAAGTCTTCAAATTCAGTTCAATTGCAGTAATTTCTTAGTTGTCAACGAAGATTATCTGGAGTTCAATTACAGTCTTTTTGGAGAATTTTACCACTATCAGAGTTCAGTCAAAGAGAATCATTTCTATTTTGTCTTCTCTCTCCTAAGAAAATGAATTGGAAGGAGAAGATCTTTGGATTCTCTCTCCTAAGCCACTGACATCCGTAAAGAATGGAAGAGTGGGCTATTAACTTCCAAGAAAGAATCATTTTTTTCTTCCCTCTTGCTAATAGTCAGTGGCTCAAGCAGCAAAACGAGCAGTTTGAATCTGAGAAAGTATGCAGCCATTGTCTTGATCATTTCATCTAATCTTTAAGCTAATGTATACTTTCCAGCCTGGCCTGAGAAAAGGAGGAGATAGCTTCTTCTTTTTAAAGTTGATGAAAATAATACTAAATATATCCATTATACTTGGTATTTGGCTGCTTTCTACATTTGGATTTACCTGTTTTTTTTTTATTTTATTTTGTTTGTTTTTGTTTGTTTGTTTTTTACTAAAACAGAAGCAGTCTACCTTATTCAGCCATTTTGTGGGTAAGAATATCCAGAGTAATAGAGTTACAAATAATACTGCTGTAGTCAGCTGACTGTGGAAACAGACTGAACTCCCAAGGAGTTCTGCCATTATCTAGAACTGAAAAAGAAAAAAGAAAAAACAAAAAAACAACAACTGCATGAGCAGCAGCAGCTCCCCCCACTTAAAATGACATGTAAGCCTGCATCATTCTTCCACGCTTCAAAATCCAATCCCTCAAGTGCCCTCCCTGTTCTGTAAATTTGCTCCTCGTTGGTCTTTGTGTGCCATTCTTAGCTTACAGTCTAAAAGCCTGACTGTGAAGCGTTCATTGCAGCAAAGGGTTTTCTAATGGCTCAAAGACTGTCTTGAGGCATCTGAGATTTTAAAGGCTGGTGGGCCATCTTTTATCTCACCGAATAAGGAGGATTTTCCTGGAAAAAAAGCCTGGGTTTTTGAAAAGTGCTAAGCTTGAAGTGACCTCATTTGATACTTTGATTTAGTAGCAGAATTCAGATATATATGGGTACTGATCTGTTAAGACCATTTATAAAACCAGTTCATGTTGAGCAAGTGTATGCATAGTAAGGTATTGTGAAGTGTAAGTGTTGGGAAGTGCTTGTAGATTACTGGATAAAAGGGTGTTTGGTGTTCAGAGAAGCACCATTACAGGCTGCAAAACATCTGTAACAGGATGTTTCAATGTTACTGCTGTTGTATAACTTAACTGCAAAGTGTTTCATTGCAACTTTATAGAAAGTGTGAGAAATGGTTTAGTATTAAAGACAAAAGCCTGCTAAATGTTTATGGGACAGATGTCTTACAGCTGAAGAAATGAGTTAAACAGTCACTTAATCTACAAACTGAAATGAATGCAGCCTTTGCCAGGTTGTAGGAAATGATCAGGGCAAGTACAGATTGCAGTTATAAAAGAAAAAGAAAAAAAGACAATCACTTTTTCAATGCCGTGAATATTTTTGATAGATTGAGCTCTAAAATGTATTTTAATTGAGTTTCTAGATTATAATGAATGTGTCTACAGAATTTTATGCAAAGCTTCAGAGTTCAGCTGTTTTAAAAAGATTTTTTTTATATAGCGGTGATTATTTTATCTATATATTTAATAGAACTGTAAAACCATTTTAAGAATACTTGTAAAACTATGTGTATGTGATATGATTATTTATTAATTATGACTCACGAGAATGAACATTGAGCTATGCATCAGTTGGATCATCCATTTGGAAAACGGAAACTGCAGACAGAGGAAGAGCTCTTGCTGAACAGTAGACTTGAAAGACGTGGGAAATGATTTGAATACAACTGCGTGATTCTTAAAGCTGCGTAGCTATATATCATTTTGTGATGTTAACTTTCAGCTAAAGTTGCAAATTATATTGAGTGATTAAGCTTCTTTCTTCCATTAAAACTTCCTGAGGCTGAAATTTCAACATGTTAATATTTGGTGTTTAACTCATTTATTTCCATTACATCTTCTGATGATGGTCACTATGACTTCTTTATTATATCAAAGTAGTGAGCCACTGAATTTATTGGGGCCCAGGGTTTTTTATTTATTTACTTTTTTTTTTTTTTCCAGAGCTTTTGGTATCCATCCTCACATTATCAGAGCTTTTAGAAGAGGAATTTGGCCAGTGTATGTGCTCTCATATTCAACCATCTAAGGAGATAATTAGTGCATTATCACTTACATGTAGCTTTAAGTACTTGGGAGTCCCTTCTCACCAAGCACGAAAATGAATGCATCCAGTGATGTGTTCAGTTCTCGACTTCTGTGAAAGTCAGTGTGACACATCTGTGTGCTAAGCACACGCTCCAGGATCTGGCCCTGAGGGGACTTCACTTCCATCACATAGGCCAGAAGTAGCCAAAGCCTACACATTGCCTTAGGGCTAGGTGCACAGACAATGCCACAGACTTCAGTTAACCCCTTTAAATGCATCGCATTTGTTGCACAAATTATGTAGGACCAATCCCCTACTTCTAGGAAGATACCATCCCTTACCAGTTTTGACTATGAAGACAGCAGCAGGGAACAAGTGGCTGGAACGCAGAGTGAGGTCACAGGCTAGAATGTGCCTGTGAAAGTTCCAAAACCTCCACAGCCAAAAGCTCTGACCTGACAAAAGTCACCCCCTGATTTCCACTGGGCAAGTAGATGGTGAACCTGAAAGGAGAAAAAAAATTCCTAGATGTTTATATTTCCATGTTGTGCAGTTTTTTTGTCAAGTAAATAACGTCAAATTCTTCCCCACTGCATACCACTGATGATGCTAATTTATATAGACGCCTGACTGATGAGTGTGTGTATTCCAGTTTTGTACATAAGCAGGGCATGCATGAGTTCAAGCTGCTACCCCACACCCTGCCACGGTGGAGCTACGCGTGCCAGAGGACAGGATTTATGTGCACATTTAAAGGATATCGGAAAAGACATATTCTGAATGGGAAAGCTTGCTTACTCTGTCCGTCTCTTGACACACCGCTCTATAGCTCACAAAAGGCAAAAAAAATTAACCTTTTATTCTCAAGTGCCGTGTCTGTTTCAGGGTTATCTTAACTGAAATTGTGGAATAGCAAAGCATTTCTTTCTTCCTCTGAATATGAGACATGGAAAGCTCACTTCCACCTCAGTGGCACTTTTGATGACTCCTTTTCAGACAGCTGCTACTGCTGATAATGGAAAATGAGAACGGTGTTATTTTCTCACCATGAGGGGAATGTCTAAGTTTATGTCTCTGGAACATAAAATTGGCCCCTGGGTGATTAATACAATTCTTTCCTCATGAAAAGGTTAGAAGGGGCAATAAAAATAATTAATTCGACCTCAGTGAGAAATAGTAAAAAATAACATTCCAAGAAAGGCTGTGTTCAAGTCAGGTAATATTTTACTGCCAAAGTAGTTTCATTACTTTCATTGGGCCTTCCTGGAATCTCTTTGATTCACGGAATTCATTTGCTCTGTGCCCAAGGAACCATTCAGACAGTGCAGCTCTGATCCACAGCTGTCACTAGACTATAACAGATAATCACCGTGTTCACTTAGAAATGACTGGTCTAATTTAATTCAATTAACTTTCAACGTATGTGCTCTTCATTTTGTAGAGAAACAACAGTTGTGGTTTTTTTGTTTTTTGTTTTTTTTTTTTAATGCTGAATAACTTTTAAGTATTGTAAATCAAATACATCTTTTTATTACAGTCAAAAGAATTCAACCTCTGCTTTTGTATTGAATGAAACATGTTTTAGTTTCCATATCACTTCATGCTATTTTATTCTTCTGTGTAAAAAGCCAAAAAAAAAAAAAACAAAAAACAAAACACAAAAAAAAACCCTGTTTTACCCTGATCGATTTTACTGTTCTTATTAAAGTTCTTTAATTTAAAACAATCTATAAAGTTCTAGTTTGTTAAGGAGTTAACTAGAGGCATTTATAAGTAAGGGATGTCATAATTAAAAAACGTTACCCTTTGGCAAGTGGTAAGAAGTGAAGGTTATTTAAATGAGAACAAATGCAAGGAGGACTTGCTTGGTATCAAAAGGCTGAAGGAGATGCGTTTTTGTGTATTTTAAAATACATTTCTTCTAAATGCTTCCAATCAGTGGTATGTATTGAACATTTGCACTTGTTGCTCAAAGCTAATTTTTGTGAGAAAGAAATGTATTCTTGTGTATAGTTGGTACAATAGCAAAGAAAATGTTTCTAGAAACTGCTACTCTGTAATAAGATTAGTATTTACTAGTGAATAGTTCCACTTTATTTTATAAAATCTCCAGTTTTGAAATAAATGGACAGGCTTCCTGTACATAAACTGCTACCTGTGAGTTTGTCCTTTTCCTCTCTGTATATTGTCAGACACTGAATGTCAGCACAGATCACCATTCTGTTCTTATTTTGCATTTTAGTGCCCAGAAACTGTACTCACTTTTTGGTAGAGAAGATCTCATCAAACAGAGCAAATTCATAAAGAGCACTCTTTTTTACCTACCTAAAGAGTGGCTTTTAATTTTGGAGAAGGAAGCCAAACTTTTATTCCAGTCAACAAACAATAAACTTAAAATTTTCATGTTGGTTATTTGTTACTTAATTTCTTAACATGTGGAAACTGGTATTATAAAGGTAAGCTTTCAAAACCAGTTGTGCTGAATTATATATTATTCTTAATATTCAGTTTATCTGGCCTATTTCTATGTAAGAAGCTAAGTGTTAGACCATGAATTAGTAACTTACTGGGTGCAGAACTGATTCATATTTACTATGCTCCTCTCCCTACACCTCAATTCCCTTTGCTGTGTATGAGCAAAGGAGAATAATCAAAGTACAACAGAGATATAAAACAGTTGACAATCAGACAAGTAATCTGCCTCCAGAAATACAGAACTAACATCATGAAACTATATGGGGAATGGAGTAGAAGCACTTATTTTCTAACTAAACTTAAAGGCTAATAGGTATCATGCTTTAGGAATGGTAAATGCTCCTCTATTCCTTGCTACAAAATCAAATCACCTCATACACTTTCAATGTGTTTCACACAAATCTTGTTGCTGCTGGTACTTACTTATTGGGCCATCCTCCCCCACATTAGTGCTTGTAGACAGTAAGAGAATATTCATAACGCTATTTGACAATTTGGGAGGAGTATACATTTTTACAGGAATATAGATTCCAAAATGTAGTTCAATTGCAAACATGGCAAGAGTAGGAATTGTTGGATTTGGTGTCTTTTGTACTACCATGGGATATAAATCATCTTGGTTGCAGCTGCAAAAATAATCTCCTTTATCCTTTCTGTGTAAACACAGTTTTTGTAGCTCAAACAAGATGCAAATGATGCAGAATAGGAAACATACCTATCTGGATTATGAGAGCAATACAGACACGCATGGGTGTTATTTCAGATAAGGAACCAGTCTGCATATTGTGCTTCTATAGCAGCCCAGACCTACTAAGGGCAATCTGTGGACATAAGATTTATTCTGGTTGCTCTCTCTGCAGTGCTTACTTTACCTGACTGGTAGGTAAATGCTAGCAGAGGCATGGGTACCTTCAAACTGCTGGGTAGATATAACAAAATCTTAGACTTGAGCTGTGAATTCTCTTAAAACAATGATAACACGTAGCCAGGATAGAAATAACAATAATTTTTTTATTGAATGCTCTTTGTACTGATATGACAAGGACTGTTTCCACTAGAGTTAATTACAATATTTTATGAAATGCTTTCTGATGAATAAGTCTGTTCCATGGTAAGACGGTACCACTGGCAGTTCTCCATGCTCCCCAAACCATATGATTTACCTTGGAATGGGATGTAACATATGATCAAAGCAAAATATATAGCACCCTCTGCTGCAAATACTTTGAACTGATTATTTTTTTTGCATTACTTTTATGGCTGATCTGTACCCAGGGGAACTGATTTATCATTTTGCTGCTATGTATTTTCTGCAAGTTAGCAAGAATCATCATTACTGTAGTTGCTAGGTATGTTTATATTTTACAAAGTATTATTTCTTGATTCTCAGGCAAACGAGCATAAAAATGTGTATTTCAAGCTATTGAGAACCGTTGTTAATTATGGTATGATAGATGTTTTGTGCAGCATCTGCTCATGAAATGCAGGAATTACATGACTTGCTTAAAGTAACTTCAAGTCAGTGATAAATGGGAGGAGAAAAGACACTAAAACAGTTAAAAATATTTAAATTCCACTTGCACTGGGGGAAACATCCTTATTTAGAGTTATGAAGTCTGAAAGCACTGTGAGATTTTTTTTAACCTGTATCCTAAGGGGAAACCCAAAGTTTGCACAACCTGACACCTCTCAGTTCCAGTTTTAAGAATGGACTCTGCTCAAATAGAGGTTCTTTCTTTCTTCTAGCTTCCTCCTTCATACTCATACCTGCAGCTTTTTCTCATAATGTGTTGCAGATGTTGCTAATTAGCGCCATGGCTTCAAGTGTTTGTAACTGCTTTTTTCTGCAGTGATTCACAAGGATGGACAGAAAAAACTGTAGCCAGAATAGGAGTTGTTTGAGAGGGAAGTCTCAATTTAAATTTTCTGAAGTGAGGTGAAGAACAGACGCATTCTTTACAGAAACTTGCTTACAACATGCTGGCCTATATTTTCTCAGTGCCAGTGTGTTTCAAAGTGCTCTACTGAAATAGTGTGATGCAAAGACAAAACAGCACCGTGGCTGGTATCAGCAGCAGGGAACAACAGAGGTCACCATTGACTCACAGGAAGGAGTCTCTTCAGAATCCATTTTGGAACCCGATTAGTCATGTAAAGCCAAAAGCAAAGCCTGTTTTCTGGTGGCTTAATTTCAAAGTTCTGTAGCATGAACAAAGACAATTACTTGTCTATGGCTTTTTTAAAATTGCATTTTCTCTCCATTCCAACTCATACCCATTTTTTTCACTGCTACCCAGCAGGAATAACCAGAAACAAAATCTAGTATCATTTATTGATATGATTATATAGAAAGGGGGAGATAAATATCTCTGTTTGTTGTTGCTGCTGCTGTAGTCTTGCTGCAATTATTGCATAGAGTAAAGCATCAGTGTTTCCAGCACCAAAGATACTGTGAAAGCTGTGATTTGGTGCATGATCATGTTTTCTGTTCTGGATTTTAATTAGTTGGGTTATTCTACTCCTTTCACCCAATGTCCTGTTCATGTTGTTTTTGTTTGTTTGTTTGTTTTTAATATAGTTATGAGTTGTTTATTTTTTCTTAGCAAACATAATTCCAAGGACTTTGAAGTATGTGGAATTTTTTAGAGCTTTGTAACACGTTGATGACTTCCTTTTACTTTAAAAAAATTTGTAAGAAATTTGTGAAATTAACTTAGGGTTTAATTTTTGATTTGGGCTTAAAAATCTGAAGATTAACTGTTATAATGTAAGCAAGTGACAAGAAATATTCATAGTTTACAAAGGAGCGGGTAGACAATACAGTACAGTACAAGTTTTATCCCAACTGTGCTTTTAAATCAAAAACTCCTGTCAGCTAGCAGGCTCAAGGAGGAAGTAGCTGTGGAGAAAGACACCCTTTTCTTTATATGAAAATAACTTCCAGAATTCTCCTGGCATTAGTGTGTTTTGTTTTTTATGTTTTAAGTATTCTGCTTGTCTTCTCTTTGAACCTACTTGAATTGGATAAAATGCATTATTTAATCGTGGCCTGCAGATGATTAAGGAGGGTTTTTTTCTGCTTTATTTTATGTTAGAAATAATCAAGAATGCCAATTTCCTTCAGTACTTCAGTTAAATTGGAAAAATAGACCCATATGTTCTGACAGCTCCCACTGGATAAGACTGAGCAGCTGCTCCTCTTCCTAAGGTTTTGTCACGGGATATAATTATTCTTCCAACCATAAAAAAAACAGAAGGGTGTCCCTTCAATGCTATAAAAATACCTAATACAGTAATATTTAATAACATGGGCATTACAAAAGAAATGTGCTCTAAATAGCAACTAAGATTTGAGCTAAGTAAACAAAACACTTAATTTGGTAATATCCTAGACTTCCCAATCACTTTTAATCTGAAATCATTTTACCCAGGTTTAAATTAACCTTAGGGTGCTCTGGTTACCCTTAATTCTTCATACAGATTTCGTAGGCACAAACTGTCCTAGGAAGGAAGGTGGAATGCAGATGGAATGAAGAAAGCTGGATCTCCAGTGACAGATCTGCAGCTGCATGTGCATCACATTCAGCACAACTTAAAAGGGCAGCAGCTGGCAAGAAATTACTTTATATTACATTTACTATTTTCTTCTTTATTAGGCAACAAGGACAAATCCCAGGCCCTTTGTAAGTAACTGTGATCTTAGGATGGTCCTAACTCGCCTACCTGCACTAGCAAAAGCATGACTAGTGCCATATCTGCATGCCTGAAATATCTTGCAGTGCTCTTTGCAGCAGGGCAAACAGGATCAGCAAAATGCAGCATGCAGCTAACAGCATCCACTGTGGAAAGAAGTCAGGAGAAGACAAAATGAAGCCAGGTGCCTATATTTACATTATTTGGCTCAAGTGTGGATAGATCTTTACAGTATTGGTATGCTGATTTATATGGGCAGTACACACATCTGATCACTCACTAGCACCATAGATTAAACCTGTTCTGAAGTTTAAGTGTGAATATCCCACCACTGTTGTGAAGTATGGTAAAATATGCATCTTGTTCTTTCACAAAGAGTGAGAAAACTATGGAAAATTAAGAGCTTTTGGACATATGTGAGTGAAGGATGAAGGAAACTTAAGCAGAAAAATTAAAATTTGCAGTTAGCAGACAAAATGAGACACAAAAAACAAAACAAAACAACAACAACAAAAACCATTGCCCCAACAGTAAGACTTTTACTGCTTCCTTCCATTTTTTAGCACACTTTTTTTTAGCACACTCAGGAGAAAAAACATCACCGACAGCCACCAAAATTTCTCTTATTGGTCAGCAATTTAATTTGTTCATAGTGTAAATGAAGTGGGCACCAAGGTAAAAAGGATGAGCTGTTAAATCCATGGAGAATAATAGGACAGTCTAAACAGCTGATGTGGACGGACACTGATAAACATGGACCAAGTCAGCAAAAGGTGAGCACAATGTGTTGAAGAACAGGTAAGGCCTTGTGAATTGAGGCAGATGCAGCTTTTCATGGCTGCTTCCAGACACAGCTGTTCAAGACTGAAGCTGCAGTTCTGTGCTCCAACACTGCTGTAATTTATAACTGGACATTAATAGCTCCACCAAACTGCCACGCATGTGGGGATGGAACCAGATGCAAACAGGAGGTGACTACACTTCAAATTCTTGATGATCCATCCCAGCTGAATTAAGCTTGAGGGACTTTTAAACTCAAAATATGAATTACTACCAGAGTTATCCTTTTCCTTATTTGCCCTGGGCATCTCTCTGGTTCAGGCTGCATCTATGGATCTAAGTCATACAGTAATCAAGACTGGAAATTTGCTTATTAGCTTCATCTCTGTGAGGAGGGTTCAGTCTTCTCACCAGTCACAAAGAGAATGATGTTGGTAGATGATGCCATGGAAGGTAGGAGTTAGGGGCTTTAAACTACCTGGATTTGAAATTAAAATATACCGTAAGGTAGCTCCTAACATGCTTGTTGATGTATTTCAATCCTATGCCCTACCTTGGTGACCTTGTGCTTACAATCAGACATTATCTACGTCATGTGCTATTCAGTAGTCCTGTGGCACTGCAGCCCAGTTTAGGTAAACTCAAAGCTTTTTGCTATTTTGCAGTTTCCCCCCAGTTTTTCCAAGGACTTTTAAATAATGATTTCAATTGTGTTGCAGAAATAAAAGCTGGAAAACAGTAGCATGTGACATACAAGAGAAACTGTGCTCCTGTGTTTATACATAACCCATTTGCCTCTCCTAAATGCTTCACCTGAAGGGTTTTGACAGGGGAAAAGTTACATCAGCTGAAAAGTTACATCCAAGAAATTTCTGGGCACTTTTTGTTAAAATTTTGTTGCCTCTCATAACGTCACTGAAGTGAGGGCTGGCAAGAAACTCAGTGAGACCAACAGCCCAGCTGGTCTATGCTGCCTCAAGCAACAGCAAAGGGATGGTGGTGAGGGAGCAAAGCCACGTCTGGCAGTCTTTCCATCCTCCCTGCTCTGGCCCAAAACCACTTTTTGGCTGTGGATGCCAGTTCCTTGGCAGAGGAGCAGCACTTTGCTCTTGGTAGAATGAACACTATGACCATGACTACGGACAAGTGGAATTTCCCTATGCAGAAACACAGGAGATCAAGCACTACCATGCTCTAACCAGAGTCACCAAGCATTCTCGTTTGTCTCCAAACAGATCCTCTTTCTGTTTGGATACTACTGTCTCCCCAGCTGCACTCCCGACTCAGCGGCAAAAGCAATGCTCCGCAGGCGTCCTGGCCATCTCCACAGCCCGCAGCTCTCATCCTCCTACCTACAGCCCCGCCAAGATGGCGGTCGCCACTCTTCCCTCAGCGCTGCCGCCCGAGCGCGTGCGCGAGGAAGGAGCGGAGGAGAACTGGAGGCCGCGAGCTTCGCCATGCTTTGGAGGGGGAGGCGCACACACGTGAGCTTTTGGACCACCCGGCAGCTTCCGAGCAGCCGCCGTGTCGCCTTGCCGCATTGGCTGATTTGTGAACCTTTCACCTTTCATCTGGGTCTCGCAGCCAATCGCTCGGTTCCTTTCATGCCGCGGGGACGCGGAGCGTAAGCTGCGCAGGGTGGAATTCTCAGAGCGGTCTTGCGTCGCAGGCGCTGGGCGGCCTCCGTTGGTACGGGTGGGAGGTGCTCCGTTTGCGTAGGGCCGGCAGCGCAGGGGGAAAGGTGGGGGGAGGAGAAGGAGGAGGAGGCCGTCGCGGGCCCAGGTGAATGGAGGAACCTGACAGTTGGGGGGAGCGAGGCGGCGGCAGCGGGGAAATGGCGGTGGCGGCGGCAGCACAATGAGACGCGGCCTGTAGTGGGGTGCAGCGCCGGGCCGCGTCCGTCCGAACAGGTAGGAGATGGCGGCCGGGCGCGCCTGCCGCTCGCCCCGGGATCTGCGTGGCGGAGCCCGCTCCGCGCGTCGCCGCGGCTGGGTGGGATGGCGGCGGCCGCTCCCTCCCCGCCTCTCGCCGCCGGGTCCCGGTGAGCTGCGCCCCGCCTCCGTCCCAGCGGCCGTCCCCGTCCCTACGGCGCCTCGCCCGTCTCGGGGCCGTGCTCGGAGCCCCGCCGTCGGCCTCGGCAGCTCCCGGCGGCGTGAGGGCCGCGCTCGGCTTTGTCTGCTCGGGGCCCGCGGGGAAGGCCCGGTGCGAGGCTGCGGGGATCGGAGCCCCCCTGCCCCGTCCCGACGGGCCGAGGGCGAGGAGCGGAGCGTGGCGAGAGCTCTCGCTGCTGGGAGCCCGCCGCTGAAGGCGGTGTAGGAAACTCTCGGCTCTTCGCTGTGCTCCGTCCCGTTCCAGTTCAAACGAGTGAGGGAAGCCGTAGTAGCGGAGTGATCGGGGCACACCTGGTGCTTTGCGAAGGAACAAAAGGTTAAAAGGCACGTTAGTACACCGAGATGTTAGGGAAGGTAATAATAAAGACATGGGCTGCGATATTGACATCTAGGAGGAAAAAAAAAAAAAAGAAAAAAAAAAGCTTGTTTTGTTTTTGCTTATTGTCATTCCCCGGAAATGATTATTTCCAAAAATAGTTTCCTGTTGAGTTCAGATGGAGGGGGTTTGGCACTTCAGATGGTATCTTCTGAGTGTTCTTAACGATGAGATGTTGAACCCCAAGTTACGCAGTGGACTGTGGCGGTGGAAGCTGTGGTTTTGAAGGCAATGACCATTTTTAAAGAAACAAGACCAAATTGGAAAATAAAAAGAATTAACTGCAGGCACTCAGTTATGCTTTTTAAAATAAAGTACTTCTGATGCTATGTTGAAGTCATACTGCGTGTATAGGTTTGGTAAGTTGTGTTGTTGGTTTTTTTCCCCCTACAATTTGATATAGAGACAAACTGAGATTTACTCCCTATATACCATAACTATTTTCCTAAATTTTCTTCTGAAAAGGGACTCTTCCATTGTCTGTGTCTACAAGACTTGTAATTATGAAGATTACACTATGAGGTTTGGAGATCTTATTAGAAGCTTTCAACTGAAAAGTGCTAATAGGTGTGTGATCAGAAGATTGTTACTTTTTAATGTATTAATCTGTAGGATTGAAATAAATATGCTTGTTCAGAAGTGCTGAGTCAAAATTGTCTTAGTGGTAACGTTTCTGTGAAAGTGGCAGCTCAGTACTCAGCACAAAAAGTAAGAAACTTTAGGACTGACAGTAAGTGGAAATAAAAGGGTATCAGTATGCTAGCGTATAGATCCTTGGTGGGCCAACATATGTAATACTAAATGCAGTTTGGATATTTATGCTGTCCTTCTCTTCTACCTCAAAAAGATGGTATTAGATTAAGAACAAAGGTAGGGAGAAAGTTCATTAGGACACAGGGGAAGAGTTGCAAGAGGAAGGAAAAGAGATTGAAGTTTAAGTCATGAGCAAATTAGATAGGAAGCAATGGCTTTTTTCACCTGTTCATGAAAAGTTCCTGCAGTTTACAAATTAAAAAAAAAAAAAAAAGCAATGGAACTATATATCATGTATAACTACAATTCCTGGTGCAGCAACATCTTAGGAATGCCGAAGTATCGCAGACTCAGTAAACATCAAGATGACTGGTCAGTGGGAGGCCTTGCTGTTATACTCCTTCATAGTTGTCCTCCATTGGATACTGGTTGAGGGAAGCCAACAAGCTGGGGAGGGGAAAGTTTGTCTGACATAAGGTTGTACAAATATTTCATAAAAGTTACGGTTGTCTTGATGGTCTGTAGATTATGGGAAGAAAATAAGCAGAACAGTAGTTCAAAAAACTACTATGATGTACAAAAAATATATGACGTGTCCCATTTCAGAAATCTGTAAGATTCCTTTTCCTTGATGCAAAGATGCTTTAGCACACCTTTTTATAGAGTCTGAGTGTTTCTAGTTAATCTATGTTCTCTTTCACTGTGAATGGACCAAATACACATTGATCTGTAACTGAATGCAATTGCTGGCAAGAAAAAAAGTGAAAAAGACTGTCCTTTTTAGAAGAGCAAGGAGATGCTTAGTAAAATGGATGTGGTAAGCTTGGGGTTGTGGTATTCTGTATTAGCTTGAACTCTAATTTAGAGTCTACAGAAGAATTCAGAAAAGATTGAAGATGCTTTAGGAATACTGAGCATTATAGTAAGCACTAGGACTACTGACAAGTTTTATTTCGGGGCATGATCTAGTCTCATTAAAACATTCTTCAGTTATAATGGGATATGCCACGATTCCATAATTCTCAGTGAGAAAATCCAGGTTTCTTTTTCTCTCTCATAGTTGGTACAAACTGTGGATACTGAGCTTGATAGATGTAGTTGGCAGAGCAGAGATGTGGTTACAGTGTTCTCTTTCCTCATGTTGTAATGTATAGCTGGGTAAGCTCTGACCAGCTGTGTCCCTCACCTTCGTGTGTTCAATACTCATTTCTTCATATTCATAGCGCAGAAACTTGGTTTATTGTTTTCCCCAGGAAGTGCCTTTATTTGAAAAGAAAGTAGGAGTATAATTTTAGTACTGTACAGAACAGTAACCTCTGCGTAATTATGTGAAATGTGCTTTTAGAACGTTCCATCCTGAAGGCTAAGAATGTTTAAAGACAAAATTGTGCTTTCTGCACTCATGAAGATTTTTCTTCAATCTTTAGCCTTCCCTGACTTCCATGTGGGTTGTGATAAACCAGAAGAGACCTGATAGATAGTAATAGCTAAAGGTTCATTTTTTAGCTGGAGTTACTGCTGTCTTTGGTTGGGATTTGAAGGTTTGGTTGTTCAAACTTTGTTAGTTATTTTAGGGAGTGGACAGTTGCAGGATTGTCATTAAGGAGCCATTCTAAAAGATTTAATCTACAAAGGACAAAGCTGTGCCTACTGTTTTAAAGTATGCTTTGGTATTCTTTGAAAGCTTGGTCTTGGTAGTTCTTACTTGCTTTGCCTACTGACGTTAAGCATTTGAATGCTGAGCAGCTGATTTCTGCTTTTTATTGGTTAAGGAAAATTTTCCTGATATGTTTTTACTTTCAAATTGCTGCAAGTTCTCTGCTTCTCAGATTCAGAACTGAAACTGGTATCAAGGAATCTTTTATGCAGGAATGGTGAAATGTCCTTCTTTGGTGAGGAAAGAAAGAAGAGCAGCGCTCCAAATTCTTGCATCGTAGAGCCAGGGACTTTTGTACCTCTTCTTTTATGTAAGTTTGTACACAGTTGTGAATCTGCCTGTCTGTGGTTGTTTTTTTTTTTAGTGCGGCACTGTGGATCCCTTCTGACCAAGAAAATGCAATCATTTTTTTTCCTTAATACTTGCTAATATACAAGTCTGGTAGAAAATCTATTCTGCCATGCTTTCCCCCTCTCCCCCCTTCTATGTGCCTATGGCTTAATGCTTATGCTGCTGCCATGTGATATGCAATAAGCAGTTTCTGCTCATGTTTTCTATCTTCTATTAATCTCTGTGAACAAACAATTCCTTAATAGGTTCACCAGGTGTGTGTGTGTGTTTGTCTGAGTTGCAGTGGGATGACTGCTGTGAATAGGGGAGCAGGTTGAGACTTTGAGCTGGCATTGGTGTTTTTTTTCACTCTTCCACTTGTATGCAAAACAAAACAAACAACAACAACAACAACAAACCATAGAAAATCCCCAAGCTCCACAGTCCTTACTGTCAATTAAGTTAAAATACTTGGTTCCCAGGGCCTGTCTCTTCTTTCAGAGTCTGATTCCTGATAGAATGTCAACCCATGTAGAGCTTCCTCAGCAGATTCCAAAAAGCAGCTGGGTAGCAGTAAATGTTCAGTTTTCTTGGAAATGCAAAAATGTGGGATTTATTTTAAAAAATAGCTGCTGCTTTGTGACAACTGGCCTGAAGGACTGCCCACTTGCTGATAGCACAACCTTCCTTTCTATAGGGAGCAAATGTAGTGTGCGCTCTCCAGTAATTAGCTTAACTCTATGGCTAACTTAACGATTCAGTTTCTCACTTGTTTGCATCAGTCTTGCTTAGTCTGTGATTTAGATCAAGGTTCTTGCAGATTTCTTGCAACTGTTGCTATCTCTTTGACTGTATTCTTGCTCCAGAGGAAATGAACAAAGTGAAGTTACTTTGTAGTTGATGTTTAAAAACAGGTAGAATTGATCTCTGGACATCCAGGTTCAGAAAGCCCTTCTCTGAGTTCTGGCAAGTTCATTCAGGTATCTTTCTTTTCACACCCCCTTCTTTTAACTGCTGAAATCTGGAACTGTTTCTAGGTGTTTGTACAGATAGATACATCTAAGCTGACATACTAACTGTGGCTTTATGGAACGTTCATCGATCTCTGGCACTAATATTGTTACCAGTAAAGATGACCAAGTGTAATCAATCTCAAGTGAGACTTCTACTTCCTCATTTAAGTTTTGAATTTCCAAGTAGGCAAATGCATCTACCTTGCTAACTTCATGCTAGGTGGCTAGTAGGTTTTCCTTTTTGGAAGAGGACGTAAAGTAAATTAAGGTGAATACAATATAACAATGTTTTGACTTCTCTCTCTCTTTTTTTTTTTTTAATCCATGACCTTTTAACATCTTTGTGCTGAAGTTCAATGCCCACGTTGCCAGTCTATGTGAAGTTATTTGTCAAGAAGTGATATGATCTCTGTGCAAGGCTCGAGGTGGGGAAAGGCATGCTTCTCCAT